GGATTCTGTACGTCTACTAGCTGACCGTTACATTAAACATTAATTATCCAGATTGAATTTGGGTCGATCTGACGGTCACGTCTTCTTTTCGTATTTGAATTTTAATAGGTAACTACAGCAAATATCCAGCTCGGAAGAAAAATGGGATTTGAATGGGAAGAGAAATAGAAAAAGAGAAAGACATAGAGTTGGGTTTTCATAGTCGGGATGAGAGAGAGAAGAAATACAAGAAAAGATAGATAGGGTGAAGAGACTGAGAGAGTGTGAAGAGAAATATAAAATTAATATATACTTTTATAATAACTTTGGGATGGGTCAAAATGCTAGTAGTTTAAGGAGTAGTAACGCTTTTATAATCTTTTTTTTCTATGAGCTCGAAATTATTATTATTTAGGAGAAAAAATTTATATAAGGATGCAACCTTACAATGTAGAACTACGAATGCACCTCAAAAATCTATCGGAAAAGGGTAGTTTTGATGTTGAAAAATTCTTTGATTGATTATCTCGACATCGATATGTATGACCATGAAAAATAAAAATATTTTAAATCTCAGAAATAGTACATTTTACAACATATTATCTACACTGTCCGGTTTCAAGATTTTCATATGTTTATTGATCTACTTGATTTTAATCATTTTTGAAATTTAAAATTTTATAATTAGATGTAAAAATAGATTTTGAGATAATCCTAAAAACATTTGACATCAAAATTATAATACTATGATAAATACCCCTTCTCATTTTTTCAAGTAAATTAGAAATTAGTTTTTCCTTCTCATTTTTTCAAGTAAATTAGTTTTTCCTTCTCATTTTTTCAAGTAAATTAGGAATTTTAAGGTATTAATAAAATCTTCTCATTTTTTCAAGTAAATTAAAAATTAGTTTTTCCTTCTCATTTTCTCAAGTAAATTAGAAATTAGTTTTTTATGGTATTAATAAAATCTTCTCATTTTTTTAAGTAAATTAAAAATTAGATTTTCTTTCTTATTTTTTAAAATAAATTTGAAATTAATTTTTTAAAGTATTAATAAAATTTTATTAATAAATTGTGACTAGGGTGGAGGTGCTACCACAACAGCCCAACTCCTTTCCCATACCTGAAATTCAACGCAGTTTGGATACTTCAGCAAATATTGGATGGCGTCAAAACTTTTAATATGATCCAGGTGCTTGAGTTGCGGAATAAAATCGCCGCAAATTTCTCCATAATCTCGCGGGATACGATTCCAGCCAAATTACATCCCTTGTCTTTTGCATTAAATCACGTTATATCTAAGGGACGCAAATATTCAGTTCTACAGCTACGAAATTTATGGGGCATTATTTTCTCACGTATACTATGCTCTCTTGGGAGCACATTGTTCACCTCCGTCAAAACCTACTTGAAAGGATATTTTTAATATGAAATTTTGGGAATTACTTAAAGATTGCTAGATAATTATTCTAAAAAAGAAAATTAAAATTTGAGCTTTCCACACTTAGATTTCACCATTAAAAAATTAGATAGTCTCTAATCAATCTCAAGACAATATTTTTTCATATGCTTAAAGGGTACAATTAGGAATTATCCCAATTAAAAATGACTAAAATTAGCTCACTTAACTAAAATTGACTGAGTTTATCTAACTTAAAAAAGAATTTATCCTAATTGAAAATTGGAAAATTGTTTCATGCATGGAATGTATTTTTATATATGCGGTCCAAAAAGTGTAAACCATCCATCTTAAAAATAGATGCAAGTAGATGTTCCATCTAAAAACAATAGAAACAAACAGTCCAAATGTTTTCTCACTATAATTTTTATTTTTATTTTTTTAAATTTTTTTTTTTTTTATTATTTACAATCTCCATATTAGAGATTACATGTCTTTAAAAATTAATTCTTAAAATCCATCTAAAAAATAGTTTTATTAAGAGGCCCGCATTTATAAATATGCGAATTAATTAAAATGACGAAAAATAGGTGAATTTGACTGATAACAATTACGGTCCTGACGTCACCGTCACACTTATAACGTGTTCTAGACTCTAATGTACAGTGACGGAATCCTAGAAAGGCACAGAGGAGAGAGATGGTGGGGGAGAGAGAGAATATTAGAGAGAGAAAGGGAGCAAAAAAATCGTGAAACACCAATCCAAGAAGTTGTAGCCCAGTGTGCCATAATCCGACACCCTCACATGCAAAGGGTTTGGCAATTTTTTCAGCTGCATCGCATGAATTACTCATCACATAATATTTATCATCATCCCTTAATTGAAACCGTACCCTTTTAGTTCAGTGTTGCCCTTTAAATCACCCATCCCCTTCATCTCAACTCCTCCTCCTTTCTTCCTTTTCTTCTCTTTCAATGCCTCCACTTCTCTTCTTCACCTTCTTCTCTCTCTTAATCTCGACTTCAGCGGCCACAAAGGCCGGCCATGGCTACAAGCTAATTTCCATCGAAGAGTCACCATATGGGGGGCTCATCGGACGCCTGAAAGTGAGGCAACCAACCACAACCTACGGCCCTGATGTCCCCAACCTATTACTCTATGTAAAGTAATGCTCAGACCTTTCTCTATTATTTTCATTATTTCCTGCATTTTACCAGTATTTTTTTTGGCTGGAAAAGCTTGCTCTCTTTACCTTTATTTTCCATCTTTTATTGGGTTTGTAAATCACTATGCTCGACATACCGTTCCTTTTCTTATTCCCTGCACTTTTCTATTAACTTCTAGAACGGTTTTTTTTTTTCCTTTTGTTTTTTTTTTGGGTTTTTTTTATAAGATATATATGTATATGTATACATATATCTTGGGGTTTTTAATCCGTATTCAACAGGAAAGTGCTAAATTTTTTTTTTTTCAATTTCTTTGGGTTTTTGAAGGCACGAGACTGAAAATCGCTTGAGGGTTCACGTTACAGATGCGGACCACGAAAGATGGGAGGTCCCTTACGAGCTTCTCCCCAGAGAGAAGCCCCCAACTCCATCATCTTCTCTCTCTAGAAAAGACGGCTCTTTTGTGCTCCCTTCTTCTGAATCTCTCTCTTCTTCCTCTTCCCCGAACAATCTCATCTTCTCCTACGTCTCTAACCCCTTTGGCTTCTCTGTTAAACGAAAATCCAATGGAGAAACACTTTTTAATTCCTCTTTCGACAGTATGGTCTTCAAGGACCAGTATCTTGAAATCTCTACCGACCTACCTGAAAATTCCAATCTCTATGGTCTTGGGGAGAATACACAACCCAAAGGAATAAAGCTTCAGCCAAATGATCCATACACACTATACACGACCGATATATCGGCCATTAACTTAAACAGTGATTTGTATGGGTCTCACCCATTTTACATGGATTTGAGGAAGGGCCCAAATGCTCATGGTGTTCTTCTGCTAAATAGCAATGGAATGGATGTGTTTTACCGTGGCTCTTCTCTAACATACAAAGTTATTGGGGGTATTTTCGATTTCTACTTCTTTGCCGGGCCAACCCCATTAGCGGTTGTGGACCAACACACATCCTTGGTTGGGCGACCTGCACCCATGCCCTATTGGACTTTTGGTACGTCATGAGACTCTCTCTCTCTCCTCTCTCTCTCTCTCTCTCTCTCTCGTATACTACTGTTATTTTATTGTTACAGAGCATAAATGATTTGTATGGTACACATTGCACCGGTGGTGCATAGTATATGGTCCACAACACGGACATTGGACCGGTGGTGCATAGATTGGACCGGTGGAGCATAGTGTATGGTGGGATTGGAAACTGCCTGCCATTGATCTCCACGGTTGATATTTGGCACAGATGATCGATGCCCCTGTGGTCTATTTGTGTGTGGGATTAATAGAAAAGTGAAAAACAGCTAATTCTTACCCGAAAAAGAAAAAGAAAAAGAAAAAAAAAACAGCTAATATAATAGAACCTTCTTAAATGTTTATGGTAAAATGTGAAAATTTGGTGTTCTTAGTTTTGTTCATTCAATTTGTTTGTTGTGAATTTAATATCGGCATTAAATCAAATTCATTGTGAGGTAACATTTACGACCGATATTTGGAATCAATTGAGAATTTATTGGAATTTCTTTTCGTGACTTGGTTTCTCTACGATATATCATTAATTAGTTTCTCAAAAAAGGATATATCATTACCACATAGTTCAATGTATGATTTCATTTTCTTTCCAAAAATGTATTTACGGTTTCATCCCCATCCATTCAAATATTAGCAGAACACTGTTACTTAGTTTTCTTTAACAAACATACTTTTCTTTTCATCCTTTTCGAAGGTTACATGTTGCTAGCCGGTTCCTCTCCGTGTGTTTGGAAATTTTGCGGCAAAGTGCTTCCCTTTCAGGTTTTTCGAAGCAATTATCTTTGTGAGGTAATTCTCAATAATTTAAGAAAATGGAGAAAGCGAAAAGCAAAAGTGGGACAAAAGGTTACTTTCAATTTCAGTGGTGTCTCTCTTTTGTAATCTTGGAAATATCTTCCTTATTTTTAGCACGTATACTATGCTCCCTCTGTAGCATAGTTTGCTTCTACTCCTTCGGTTAGAAGACTTACTAAGAAGGATTTTTTTAATGGGAAATGTTGGGAGCCACTTAAGAACTACTGGATGATTATTTTCGCAAAAAAAAAATTCAAAGTTGAGTTTTCTAACACTTAGATTTCACCGTTTAAAAATTAAATGGTCTTTATTCAATCTTGAGGCACTTTTTTTCAGGGTACAATTGAATTTTTTTTTTGTATTGAGGTTAATTTGTAATGGAAGAGGTTACATCTCCAAAATTGGAGTCCTACAATTAGCATTCGGTGTGAGTTTACTCGAGGGAGTAAATCAACATTCTACTCCCTCCAGAGGGAGTAGAATACCATATCAGTTGTTTTTTGGAAGGGCAAAGAATTGTCTCTTGTGACAATAGTCAGCACTAATAAAAGGATTTACATTATTTATCTAAAATTCTTGAATGGAGACTCTGATTTATATTCATAATTTTAATTTTTAGCAATACAGGAATAAATGTTTGGTGTGTCGTGCACTTTAGATCGAAGGGCATCCATTCTCCATTCTAGATGACCAACGGTGGGGATTGACAGTAGTTCCCCATTATTTATGAAGTATTGGGGCATCCACTCTCCATTCTACATGACCAACCGTGGGGATTGAACGCAGGTCCCCGTTATTTATGTAGTATTGAATGTGAATGATCTAGAGCCCCAATTTTGACGAGTTTTAATAAGCTACTTTCAACAATTTACTAGTTTATATTCCAAACAACCATTTCCTAGTTTATTCCGGAAAATCCTTGGATAAATTGGCAAGTCGGCTTCATTTTTTTTTTTTTTTTGAGAATAATCATCTAGTAATTCTTTTATCATTCTCAAGCTTTCAGTTTTAAAAAATGCTCCCAAGTAGATTTTCTGATCGCGAGAGTAGAAGTAAACTATGCTTCTGACGTGCTCGAACTTGATATCCTACTTTACCATGCAAGATGTGAAATTTGAATCTGTGGATAGGAAAATAAAAGTATGTTTTCAGGTCGGGTCGGGTTTCAATAAGGTTGCAACTTTAAACAATCCAATTAAGGCGAACCTCTAAATTTTATAATAAATGTAATTTTAGGTACAAATTTTGTATAATAAATGTAAATTTAAGTGTAAAAAATTATTATGATGGCTTGAAAATCTATTATTAGCTCTAATTATAAAACTTTAAACTCCAAAAATAGTTCAAGTCAAGTAGATCTATAAACACATGAAAATTTTGAAATGGGCAGTCCAGATAATGTTTTGTAAGATACACTATGTTTTTAACTTAAAATATTTTTTTCTTTTCATATTCATACATGTGGATGATGTGGAGATGATTACTTAGAGGGTTTTCTAACATTAAAACCCCTTTTATGATGGACTTTTAAGGTGCATCTTTAATTCTACATATTTTATGATTTGCATAGACCGTCCATTATGATGGATGGTCCAATCCAATGGAGCAATGTCAGCGGACCACCTAATTTGGGTGGCTTTAGCCAGGCATCTTATTATTGGTCGAATCAAACAAGATCGGCCGATCCCGCTTTAAAACTTTGGAAAGGAACGACACTAGCGTGCTAGAGAAATGGTACGAGCTCATATGAAGTCGCCAATTCACCGTATTACCCCTGCTTGCTCTTTATTCATAGCTGTCTTTGTCAACTAGAAGTTGAAAACTCCCTAGAAGTAACAAGTTCTAGGATTTAGTCGTTGAAACTTTCGACTCCTAGTGCGTTGGATTAGCGGTTCATGTTGACAAGGCCTAGGTAGGCCGGAGACCCGGCCCGTTAAACTTACTAGCCTTGAGGTCTCTGTCATGCTCTGATGGCCCCCCTTAAAATTACTAGCCTTGAGGTCTCTGTCATGCCCTGATCGGCCAGTTTAAGGAGGCTAAATCTGGCTCATGTTGGGCCGGGTCGGGCCAGGCATTTGAGGCCATTAGGTCTGCCCTGTCCCCCCTCGACTCACTAAGAATGTGACATGTCGAGCCTTAACAATAACCAGGCGTGTAGGTCATAAACCCAGGGCCTTCCCGGCCCAATGGGCCTAATACAGGGATTGAATCTTTCCTATCGGCCCCGCCGGCCCATTTGCGGCCCAATGTTTGATAAAGGAGATAGGGAAATAGTTTTAAATCTTTTGATAAAGCTTATACTAGTCCAAGGAAGATGAATATAGGTTCTGATAACCAAAAAAAATAAAAAAAATGTTTAATAACCATACAGGAAGTCAAAGCTGTTTTTTTTTTTTTCTGGACCTAGTGTGATCTTCCAACGCGTTGCAACATCTGTAAATTGTCGTAATCGATAGAGATGAGGTTCATCCATTATGATTTGTTTTCTCAAAAAACAAAAAAAGAAAAAGGAATCCATTATGATTTTCCAAATGTGGGGATGGGCTTGCTTGTATTTAATAGGGTCCTTCTCACCAAGGTGGGGGATAGATGGGAATCTTAACTCCAAAATGGGGCATTACTAACTTGCCTTTTATGGGCGCCTCCACATGCATTGAAAACACTCTCTTCTACCTTTTCTTCTTTTCTTTTCTATTTTTTTATGTTTTTTTTTGAGTGCGTGTACCCTCTTCTTGTCTCTTGTGGGAGCAAAAAGTCTATTGACACCCTATGGTGGATGACCATTTGGGAGGATTTGTTATAACAAATTTTGAGATCCACTTTAGAGTGATCTATATATTTTGGAACAATACCCGTTTCTATGCGGCCAAGCCCACACATGCATTTTCGCTTATGTAGAAATGCATGCCTTTTAATAAATCTGTTTTTTGACTTTTTAAGGATACGTAATCTCTATCATGGAGATCATGAATATGAAAAAATAAATACATTTTAAAAACTAAAAATAATAATTCTAGTAAAAAAACATTTGGACCATTAGTTTCCATTGTTTTTAGATGGAACAGTTACTTGCTTTACACTTACTGGACTGCATATGTAGAAATGCGGTCCCGCCGAAACAATTTTCCTTTAGAGAAAGAAGAAAAAGGTCTTCAGGTACTTAAATGCCGAAACAATTTTCCTTTAGAGAAAGAAGAAAAAGGTCTTCAGGTACTTAAATGCTTAAGATCTAACCATCCAAAATTTGTTTGATCTGACCATTCAAAAATTTGCTGGTATGTGTGCAATCTTAGGATCTGATTTTTCTGTCGCAGTATTTTCTTTTGTGAAAATATATATGGTACAGTTCACGGGAGCATATAATCCTCAGTTTTATTTTTGTTTTCTTTCGGTGCACTAATTGAACGAGATAATTCTTTGTGAAAAACCTTGAGTTGTACTAATGTTAAATATATAAATTAGGAGTCGTGTTTTCAAGAAAAGAAGATCGAAGTGAACAACAAAAAGAAAAAAGAAGAAGAAAGATTATTTATTCCTATGCAAAACCCAATCCAGGAATATGTTCTTTACCCTAAATTTGAGGGATACCAAAATCTTTTCAACTATATGCTATACTCAAAATTGAATTTTTTACGGTGAGATCTAAGTGTTAAAAATAACTCAAAATTCTTTTTTTTTTTCCCTTTTTTATTTTGAACGTAATGATCTAGTGATTTTTAGGTGGTTCTCAAAAAATTACGGATCTAAATTATCTTCTCAAGTTAGTCCTCTGCCAAGGGAGTAGGTATAATGAATGTTCCTACATGCTATTAATCTTTTTTGGTCATGAATATGAAAAATATTGGATTTGAACCTTAAAATAAAATTTATGTTAAAATAAATATATTGGATTTTAACCTACATGCCAAGGGACTTGGCCAAGTCGACTCAAGACTTGGCCAACTTGGGGTCATCAAACAATAAAATAAATAAATAAATAAAATTTATGTTAAAATATTTTATATGTAATTTGGATGTTGGCATGATGATTTTTTTTTGCCATATACCCTATTTTTATATTTTTATTTTTAGGAAAATATTTTCAACTGCAAATAAATTTCTGTTAAATCCATATTTCATGGATTGTTTTCAGCTTATTTGGACTTTTTATGTTGTTTTGGGTTTAGCTTGGTTTTTGATAATTTTAATATTCTTTTTATATTTAAGGGTTTTTTTTTTTTTTTCGGTTTTTTTTCCTCTTTTTTTTGGCTCATATATAGCTCCCTGCACTACTCTTGTGTGAGTGCACTTTGATTTGCCCAAGTTACTCGACTTGGGTGGAGCCCGAGCTTCAGCCGAGTTTTTAATCATTGGTTTTTTGAACTACAAACTCATGGATCTAAAGCTGATCTAGCGTGACTTAACATGTATTTCAAATTCGATATTTATGTCTAAAATGAATATTTGGGAGGGAATGAATAGTTCCACATTTAACCTTTTAAATTTATGGTAATCGTTGCTTTTTACTACCCTCTACGATGTTTATACACAATACATATATGAAAAACAATCAATCAAGAAACCAAACCTATCATTGTGAATTGTACTGGTTGTGACCGGCTTGGTTAGTCATTTGTTATTGAGACGACGGCCCTGTTTCAAGCGGTTCATACCACATAATTGAATTTGCTTGAGTCAGGAGTGTATTTCCTTAGAATTTGTCTGCAATTCCTCATCTAATTTGTTCATTCGGTGAATGGAAAGGAAATGCAAGCGCTGAACATTGTATACGTGTTTTTGGAATTATTGGAGTTATATTATGTGAAAGTTCTTGTTACCTGTTTCTTCAGAAGGAAATTGGATACAGGAGGAGAATTGTGTACACTGCTTCTCGATCTCTACGGTTGGCTTTGCACTAATGCCATTGTTCACTCGCAGGTTTCCATCAGTGCCGTTGGGGGTACAAAAATGTGTCCGTGGTGCAGGCAGTGGTTGAGGGCTACGACAATGCCCGCATCCCCCTGGACGTCATCTGGAATGATGACGACCACATGGATGCTGCAAAGGACTTCACCCTTGACCCGGTGAACTACCCCCCCTCAAAGCTTCAACCATTCCTCAAATCCATCCATGGCAGTGGTCGCAAATATGTTGTTCTGATCGACCCCGGGATCGCAGTTAACGCCTCTTATGGCACTTACAGCCGTGGAATGGCCCAAGATGTGTTCATAAAATATCATGGCCAGCCTTACCTAGCCCAAGTGTGGCCAGGGCCTGTCTATTTCCCCGACTTCCTCAATCCGAAGACCTCTACTTGGTGGGCAGATGAGATTGCCCGATTCCATCAGATTGTGCCTGTTGATGGCCTATGGATTGACATGAATGAGATCTCAAACTTTTGCTCGGGTCTGTGTGAGATCCCGAAGAACAAGCCTTGCCCGGGTCCTGGTGTAGTATGGACATGTTGCCTTGACTGCAAGAACATCACTGACACACGATGGGATGATCCCCCGTATAAAATCAATGCTTCAGGAACGAAGGTACCGATTGGATACAAGACCATTGCTACGAGCGCTGTCCACTATAATGGTGTGCTTGAGTACAATGCACACAGTCTCTATGGCCTCTCACAGGCCAAGGCCACACAGAAGGCCCTGCAAGGCCTTGAGGGGAAGCGACCCTTCGTGTTAACTCGCTCTACTTTTGTGGGCTCGGGCAAATACGCGGCCCACTGGACTGGTGATAACCAAGGAACATGGGAGAACTTGCGATACTCGATCTCGACCATGCTCAATTTTGGCATATTTGGTATGCCGATGGTCGGTGCTGACATATGTGGGTTCTACCCTGACACGACTGAAGAACTTTGTAATAGATGGATTGAGCTTGGTGCCTTCTACCCCTTCTCCAGGGACCACGCAAACTACTACTCAAAGCGACAGGAGCTCTATCAGTGGGAAACCGTTGCTGAGTCGGCTCGCAATGCTCTGGGCTTACGTTACAAACTCCTCCCTTATTTCTACACCCTCAATTTTCTAGCTCACACAACAGGTGCCCCTATCGCAAGGCCAGTCTTCTTCTCATTCCCCGATTATGGCGAGAGCTATGGCCTAAGCACCCAGTTCTTGCTAGGCTCTGGCGTGATGGTCTCACCGGTTCTCAAGAAGGGCGCATCACATGTGTGTGCTTTATTCCCCCCTGGCACATGGTACAGCCTCTTCGACATGACACGAGCTGTCGTTTCCAAGGGCGGGTACGTGACACTCGATGCCCCATTGAACACTGTGAATGTGCATCTCTACCAAAATATGGTGTTACCAATGCAAAGAGGAGGGAGGACTTCGAAGGAAGCGAGAGCCACACCATTCCACCTAGTAGTTAGCTTCCCTGCGGGTGCAGAGAGTAGTGGGGCCGAGGGAGAGCTCTACTTGGATGACGACGAGAAGCCAGAAATGGGGTTAGGAAGGGGAACAGCAACACATGTTAAGTTTTACGCTAGCATTGGCGATATGAAGGTTAGAATTTGGTCAGATGTGGAGGAAGGAGAGTTTGCAGAGAGCCTGGGATTAGTCATCGAAAAAGTAACGGTGCTCGGGGCACCTAGTGGTGCTGGAAAGAGTACTTCCATAATGGTAGGCGGAGAGACGTTAAGTGACATGCATGTGAAAATTTCGGAAATGAGCCATGTGGCTAATGTTGATGAGGAAGTGGAGGAGGAGGAGGGGGAGGGAGAGAGTGGCGGTGGGAAGGCGAAGAGGGGGATGGTGGTGGAGGTGGGTGGGTTAGCCTTGCCCTTGGGGAAGAAGTTTGACATGTCATGGCAGATGGAGATTGCTAAGTGAAGAGAGTGATTCTACAGAGTGTTCGGTTCTGGTTTTTGTTTAATGGGTTGTTATTTTTTTCTTTTGAAAGGCAGGTCAAAAGAGGACTTGCTTGCAAAAATATAGACTACTCTAAAGAAGGGGAATAAGAGATAGATATAGCGTTTCTTTTACTAGTTACGAGGAAAATGGTCTTGCAAAAATCATGGTTAATATGAGGAAGCGACCTGGATCTTATTTCTTCTCGACACAAATGTTCATATTTAGTATGTGTATAGTGCGTATAGGTACAACCGCAAGCAAAAAAATACTATTTATTAAAGGCGTGTTTGGTGCGTGTGAATACGTTTTTGTGAAAGAACTTCTTTATGTAATCTGGTGTCAGAATTTTTCACATCATTTGGCATGAAAAAAATGTGTTAGAATCAATTGGTGTGGAAAAACTCTCATACATAATTATATCAAGGTGTTTCAAGTGAAAATGCTTTCACAAAAATATTTCCATGTGTGCCCAACATGCCCTAAGTAGTACGTTATAACTTTGAAGCGACCCTTTATGTTTGCTGTTGTAGGAGCATTGCATACTTTCGGTGAGCCCAAGGTTCGAACCTTACCATATAAGCTATGGTATTCAATAGTTAAACAAATGCTTCAAAATAGAGTGTGGGGGAATTTTTGCTAACATTGTTTATATTTCTCGTGATAACAAAAAAAAAAAAAAATCGCTTTTTTTATTTTTTTTTACGTGCATACTTATTTTTCTAAGATTTTTTGTTATACCCAAATAAGCCTACTATAATTGCACTCGAACCTTAGAAGCATTTGGCCCTACCCTTCCATAGAGGAAGCACCAAAAGATGCTATAATATTGTAGATCTGTAGTAGCGTACATTTCTACCTAGCGTACATTTCTACCGAAACAGTAGCACTACAGATCCATAGTGGCAGATCTATAGTGCTTAGTGCATTTGGCACCTAGCCCTACTAATCTGTTAGACTTTTTTTTTTTGGTGAATCAGTGGGGAGAGGCCCCCTACCCTTGGTAGAAATTGAGCGTAGGACGTTGCTTTGCAAATTGTCAAGTGCTAACCAATTAAGCCCGGGCTCTTTTCCTATCAATCTATTTGATCTGAAGTGCATTTGACACTTTGCGACAAATTTGGAAGTGCCAAATCCACTATGGAGCTTTTAGATCCTTAGCATTTGGTGCAACAGTTCATTTAGAATCATAACGCATTTGATATTTCATAAAATTCCAAAAAGCACCAAAAGTCTGATGCAAATTAGGGTTGTTTTTCTACAAAAATCAACACCTTAATTTGCAGAGGGATATCTAGGGAGCAAAATCAGCAAATTAATTCTCAGAGAGATCTCCAGACAACAAGCCTTATAGATAAGAAGAATAGAAGAAAAAAAGGAAATATCACAAACCAAGAGGAATCTACCGCCCAAAGTTTATTCACCAAATCGTTCTCTACAAAATAACAATCTAACTCCCCTAAACCCTTCAATAACAAGTATTTAAATAACTCATAACCCTAAAAAGTTCCTACGAAATCCTAGCCATCCATCTTATTTAATCTCAGTCACCCATTATTAACTTAAAAGAAATTACGAAACTTGCCCTAAAGAAATAAAGAAATAACAATTAAAATAAACTCAAATAATCCCCTTTATTACATCATTGCTCATTTCTTTCCTCTTGGGTCCTACGACCTTTCTTGGCCCAGCCACGAACTATCGGCTGGGGCATAGCTGCATCATCCCCCCCTAGTTGAAAAGAACTCGACTCCGGCGAGTTGGCTTTAGTATAGATGTGGTATAAGTCTGGATCCACCCTTTTGAACTGTGGCTCAGAAATCCACGTGTTATCAAAGTATGGCCTGCCCTTCCATTTGACTAGATATTGACGATAAAAACCCTTTCGAGTTTGAAAGCTTTCAGTCTTCAAAACTTGCTCAATTTCCTCATCTTTCTTTCTCGGTAATTGCTTCATCATATTAACTGCTTATTCTTCGACTTCTAAAGGGTCTATATGAAATTCAAATAAGTCAACAACATTAAATATTTGGGAGATATCCAATGCCTATGGTAATTCCGCCTTATATGCATTTTCCCATATTGCTTCAAAATGCAGCAAGGGCCCACCTTCTTGGACTTGAGTTTATTATAGGTTCCCAATGACAATCTCTCCATTCGTAAATGCTCATTTAAGTAAACAACCATCATGCATGAGATACTCACCCATAGGGTCTCGCCCATCACACACCTTTCAAGGACCTTGTTGAAAATTGGGTCAACTTTATGTTGGTTTTTTATCACCTCAAACATTAACACTTCCATAGATAAAGTTTTAAGCAATACTACCCTTCTACTTAAAGCATCATCTGCCTTATTTTGGGTTCTAGCCTTGTGCTTTAATAGGAAGGTTTATTCTTGTAAGAAGGTCATCCACTTAGCATGTCGCACATTCAACTTCTTTTGGGAACTCAAATACCGAAGTGCTTCATGATCTGAGTATAGAATAAAATTCCTATGAATCCGGTAGCGCCTCCAATAACGTAAGGCTTGCACCATTGCATAAAACTCAAGGTCATAGACCGAATACTTTTTATGTGCTTCATTCAACTTCTCACTTAAGAAGGCCACGTGACTCCATGAAAACCTTCCAGCCCTTATACAATCAGTCACTGGTGCTATTAGAGTGTTGAAATTTCCAATAAATTAACGACAAAAGGTCGTTAGGCCATGAAAAGAATGTACCTCAGTGAGTGACTTTGGCACCAGCCACTCAGCTATGGCCTTCACCTTTTCTCGATCCACCTTAATTTCTTCAGATGAAACAACATACCCCAGAAAAACGATATTATCCGTCATAAATGAACAATTTTTTCAAATTCACGATAGTGATTCATTCTTTAGTACATCAAAAACTTGTTCCAAGTGGTTAAGATGATCGTGTGGGTTAGCACTAAAAACCAATATATCATCAAAATAAACCACAACAAATTTACCAATAAAAGAATGAAGTACCTCAGTCATTAGGTGCATGAATGTGCTTGATGCATTAGAAAGCCCGAATGACATCACAAGCCATTCATAGAGTCCATCTTGAGTTTTGAATGAGGTATTCTATTCATCCTCAGGACGAATTCGAATTTGATGGTACCCACTCCTTAAATCAATCTTTGAGAAAACTTTGGCTCCATGAAGCATATCTAACATATCATCGAGCCTGGGTATGAGAAATAAGTACTTGATTGCAATTTTGTTGTTTGCTCAACTGACCATACACATCCTCCATGACCCATCTTTTTTTGGAGTCAGTAATGCAGGGACGACACGTGGTGACATGCTTTATCGAATCAATTACTTCTTAAGTAAATCAACAACTTGTCTGTGCAACTCTTCATGTTCCATGGGGCTCATTCGATAATGGGCCAAATTTGGTACGCTAGAACCAAGCACCAAGTTAATGTGATGCTGAATATTTCTCATTGGAGGAAGACCACCAGGCAATTATTTAGACATCAAATCTCTATACTTCTCAAAGAGAGATTCAAGAGACCTAGGAATGGCAGTCGGTGCAGAATTTTTTTTTACAAGCAATACATAAATCACATCCATATCCTTCCTGCCCGCTTTTAATTTTTGCACATTAAGCAACTTTGGACCCCCCTCTTTAGTGGATTTGGGTGTAGGAAACTGCTTCATAGGGTTGAGTATGATATTAATACTATCATTGACAAAAGAATAAGTCTTTGGTCTAGTTTTATGCACCATATCATGATCATAAATCCAATGTCTACTAAGTAATATGTGACATGCATCCATAGGTGCTACATCACACCATATTTCAGCTTTATAATTAGCACTAATGGAAAAAGAGATTAAACAGCGAGTAAGAACTGGTACCTCACCTCTTTTCTTAAACCATTGGATGTGATATGGGCGTGGGTGCTTATGCTCCTTCAATTGAAATTTATTTATCATCTCTTTAGATACAATGTTTTCACTTCTCCCACCATCAATTAGTATTGTTCATAACTTGCCTCTAGATGTGCAAATTGTTTCAAAATATTGTGTCTCAGCCACGACTCTTCCTCACTTGGTCTGGGGGTTGATAGTATGGTTCGTTGGACAACTAAGGCTTTATCGCTTTCATCTCTGTATAACTCCTCAATCTCACATTTGAAAGGCTCAGTCCCTTCATAAGACTGTCTCGTCCCAATATCACTATGACCTTCATAGATGTATCCTTCATCAACTTCTACTTCATAATTTTCTTCCGCCAAACTAACTTTGACAGTGGGTTGATGTGAGGGAAATTGAATGCTCTATACTCAGGCGATTGGCACTTGAAACATACAATTTGTGTATCATGAGGTGTTTTAGGTGCTCCTAGCACTCTCCCAACACCACCTCCCCTTATATTAGGGTTTGGCTCAGTTGAGAAATTCCAAAAGGTTTGGTTTCCACACCCCATAGGTGGTCTTCTAAAGGTTAAATCTTGCTGCCCCTTTGTTGAAGTAGAGCCTCTTGTCACTGAATTGTTTCTCCCAAGGCCCAGAGTGACTATTTCATTTGCTTTGAGGGCCAAAGTATAGGAATCAGACATTTTTGAAGACCAATTCATTCTGAATGCCTTGATTTAGTTCATTCAAGTAGCAACTTATTTTTTGATCTTCGTACTCTTGTAAATTTGCCCTAGATGTCAAAATATCGAACTCTTCAGTATAGTCACTTACCGACGTTTCACCTTGCTTGACGTTTTGACACCTCTGGTATAAAGTTCGGGCATAATTTACTTGTAAAAATCTTCAACGCATCTTCATCTTCATCTTTTCCCATGAACTAATATTTTCCTTGCCTTGTCGAAGACGATTCTGTTGCAAATCATCCCACCAAACCATTGCATGGCCAGAAAATTTTGTGGCTACTAATTTTAATTCTTTGTGATCTGCAATATCTCTGTACTCAAACACCTTCTCTACTTTACTTAGTCAATAAAGAAAATCATCTGCATGAAATTGATCATGAAACTTTGGAATATCAATTTTTATTCTTGGTTTTCTCTCTCTCTCTCTTTCCAACAACCGAAGACTTTGGTGATTTAATTCCTCATTAACTGAGGCCGCCCGAGGTTGGTTAGGAACCAGATGCATACCACTTTTACCTCTGTTGCCTTGAGTTCCAACACCGGTCTTCGGATTCCTTCCATCCTGAAGCTGAGCAAACTTTTACACAAGCTCAT